ACTATATCAATATAAACCAGGTAATAAGAAACAAAATTATAATAAAAAAAATAATTAACTAACAATATAGCCCGAGGAAGTCTGATACATTAAAAGTGAGACGAAATTGTTTTTTGTGATGTTCACCCCGATTTGGCTTTTAATTTAATTCTATATAATATTCTTTATTTGTATAGTTCATCAACTATACACTCCCTTGTAGCTATTAATCTCATAATATACCCTTAACTAAGTACACGGAGCAAACTAAATTTTTTTTGCCGTAGAAATAATATAATTTATCAGGTAGCTTGTAACAATATCAAAGTTGACATGTTTCTTTAAAAATTATTTCAAGTTTCTGAATTATTACAATTCAATTTGTAATATCAACTANTAGATTTAGCACATTTTGTCAGATTTTGTCTAGTACACCAGTTCCGATTTGCAGTTTCAGAGGATCGGTAAGTTATCCTTTTTAATAAACAATTATTAGCAGGATTTTGATACACGCATTTAGGCTATTATAATTTTATTTCATTCACTATTTCACGCCACGGGATAGTGGGATGAATTGTAAATATCGCTTTAATATTTAATTATATTTTCCTTTTTCATTTTCTCCGTGTGATAATCTTCCGATGGTTTCTCAGATTCGACCGATTATTGGAGACACATCAGATTTAAGTTTGGCGGAAATCATTGCAACGGGAGGAAGAGCTCGTGTAAGTGCAGATTACATGGCTCCAGTTTGGGTTTTCGTTATCAACGTACTTGGATCATACGTATGTTACATCTTCGGAAAATTCGCATGCAAAATAATGGTACAAACATACTGTTACGCCTTTCCGATCAATCTAACCGTGCCAACGCTCATTACAGCACTGGTTGCATTCTGTGGAGTTTATAGTATCGATGAATGTGCTTTTAAAAATGCAATTCCCCAATATTTGGCTTTCAATGGGTATAAAACCGTTTTAATTAGCAAACACATTACACCTTTTTCTGCAGGTTTTTATACCACTAATGATTTTTAGCCCCCCGCTGTATTTTGTGCGAAACTTTATCGAAAACGAATTTGCATGGTTGTGGTTAATTTGGTTGCTTTCGCAAACGTGGATTTCTTTTCATATTTGGAATCCTCGAGTCGAGAGGCTCGCAAGAACCGAAAAATTATTCGCAAAACCCATGTACGACGGCGTATTCGTCGATCAATCTCTAGCTCTAAACAGAAAAAGAAACTACAAATCCATAATTGAAGAGGAAAAGGACTGGTCTGACAGTAAGTCGAAATTATAACATTTTCAGGATTTCAGGAACTATAGCAAAATAGCTCGAAAAATAGTTTACAACCAGTAAATTGCAATCTGTTCTTATATTTTTTCAATTTCGTCATAGGTTATAGCGAAAATTCCGCTAGTACGGAAGATTATTCGGAAGCGTCTTCATCTCCGCCCATTCAGGAGGACGAAACTACAAGAATTTACGCATGTGCAACCATGTGGCACGAAACTACCGAAGAAATGATGGAATTTTTGAAATCAATCTTCAGACTTGACGAAGACCAATGTGCCAAGAGACTCGCCAAAAACTATTTGGAAGTTGACATCCCCGATTATTTCGAAATAGAAAGTAAGTCTCTACTTGTAGAGGTGAAATGGGTAAAGGCTGGATTTAATTCACATCTTAAAAATACTTAACGAAATGTACTCTCTTTTTTATAAAGATTTATCTCTCACAAGAAAAACTTCGATTAAACTGAAATGTCCTAATCAAAGTAAATACAGAAAGTAAATTAAAAAAGTTGGTACATTCTTTTTACTTTTTTTCTTTGACTATTATCACCAACAAACACACCGACTATTCAAAATAAATGCAAACATCAAACATGCCGAAAACATTATTTCGCAATTAAAGATTGATAATCAAAATAAATTTAAAATACTGACACAATTGTTTTACGTTTTCCATAAACTAACATGTACGTTACAACAGACGTTTTGACAAACGTATCTAATTAATTTTTATCAGTTACAAGTGGTTCACAGTTTATTCAAGTATTAGACCTTGTCTGAAAAAAAGCCTTTATCATGATGTACAAAATCGAAAGTCGGAAAAGTCTAAAAATGGTAAAGCTTAATTTCGAGATCAATTTTTCACTCTGCATAATTAATTACCTTGTTATTAAAATTGGATTTTTTTTTAACAGAAACTTTATTGATTGAAGATGTTCATGTACAGAACAGAAGAATAACATGTTTTTACACCTTTTCTTTTGAGTGTTTCAAATTTGTCAGCATCATCTTTAATCAACAAAGAATTTTCGATTGTAATAAAAACGATAACAAAAACAATGCATTTTCTTTGCCACAATCGCAAGTTCATTCCCATAATGATTACACAGATTCTTTGAAGTACCAATTGATGTCTTTACGCATGTTTTTTTGTTGTTTGTGTTAAATTTAAGTTTAGTTAGTTCTCGATAGATCGATAATAATTTCTGATTGAAATCCATTCAGTTTCTAATCGGCCCGTTGTACATCATTCGTATCATATGGGCAGTATAGTTATTTCCTTTTCTAATTACNGATAAATTGTTGTCAATAAGCTAATGGCAAATTACAAGTTTTTTAAAGCTCCGTTCGGTTCTTTTGTATGTTAGGAATTTGTCTTTGTAGATTCAACTGACCAGAACGTTTTTACAATTGGAACCCATTGGTCTTGTGTTCGTCGTTTTCTTCGGTTGTTTAATGGGTCTTCAGTTTGTTGGAATGCTTTTGCATAGATTTAGCACATTTTGTCAGATTTTGTCTAGTACACCAGTTCCGATTTGCAGTTTCAGAGGATCGGTAAGTTATCCTTTTTAATAAAAACCAACGCCACAAACCTCTACAATAGTCACTATTTCACGCCAGAAAGCTGAACTCACCGATGAAGAATTATTAGAAAAGGATCCCGTGAGGATGGTAAAAAGACTTATCAAATTAAGAGGGGTCGATGACGATGACGACGATAAAGAAGATAGAGATGTCGAAAAGAGAACCGTTGGTTGTGTACTTTGCTTCTTCAGAGAGGATACAGGGTTGAATATTCTGCTGCTTCCGACGCTTATACCCACGCACCGGAAGGTTTCAACGAATTTTTCAACCAGCGTAGACGGTGGATGCCTTCAACTTGTGCCAATATTATGGATTTGATCCAAGACTCCAAAAAAACCATTGCAGTAAACGACAACATATCCCGAGGTTATATATTTTATCATGTAAATTAAATCAGTCAGTTGCATCCTTCCGAATGATTTTTATACAATTACGTATGCACGTAGATTGTTCTGATGGTTGGAACTGTCCTGGGTCCTGGGACCTTAATGTTGATGGTAATTGGAGCACTCGTGACCGTGTTTTCTTTTGACCAATACACAAGCCTCAAATGGAACGTAACGCCCCTGATTATTTTCATGATATCTTGCTACTATTGCAAAGCTAATATTCAGGTAAGGGTAATTAAATCATAAAAACGAAATCTTATTTCTTCAACTGGTAATGCTTCGGAGATATCTCTTATTTTGCCCATTCTTTATCCGAAAATTGTAGACTAAAATAAAATTTAACTGAAGAATGTATTGTTCATCAAAAATGTCTTACACCAACGTGTTAAGCCCAGTTTCTTTTATTACTTAATTCGACGACAATCTACATTTGTGCAGTTAATAATGGCCGCCATTATAAGTGGTGTTTACGCGTTGGTAATGATGGCCGTCCTTGTTGGTGTCACACTTCAAATATTCGAAGATGGCTGGTTGGCCCCCAGCAACCTCTTCCTAATGCTTGTGGCAGGAGAATTCATAATAGCGGCTATACTCCATCCCAAGGAATTTGGATGTCTTCCACACGGTCTCATTTATTTCATTACTATCCCCTGCATGTATCTTATCCTGGTCATTTATTCCGTTTTCAATTTAAACAACATTTCTTGGGGTACCAGAGAAGTCACCGTTGTGCCCAAAGCGGCAGCGGATGCGGTAAGTGACACAATAATCTATTTCCGAAAATATCTTAACTTTCGTGTGACATGTTAGGAAGAGGAAAAAGACCAGAAAAAAGACGAGAAGAAAGAGCCCACAAATCTCAAAGCAATGCAAAACAGAATATTCGCTTTGTTCGGCAAAGGTGATGATAACGCAGGCTCTTTCGAATTTTCCTGCGGCGGTTTGTTCAAAATACTCTTATGCGCTTATCGGAAGGAGTCCCCGGAACAAGTAGAACTGGCGCTTCTGAACAATAACATCAAAAAA